GGAAGAAGAGAACAAAACAAGAGGTACGTAGACCTTTAAGTTAAATATTGCCAATCTCAGTGTATATGAATGTGTGCATATACACTCACACATACACACTATAGGTGTATCCAGGTGGTCATAGCCAGACAGAAAAATAGATACTTAAAAGAGTTTTCGGGAGAGGTTCACGCACAGACACTGGGGAAGTTGTATGGATTGTTCTGTCTGGCAAAACACTGAACAAGGAGAGGAATCACAAAAGGAATTCTGCTGATGAGGTTCTGTGAGTAGTCATATGTTTATTGCATTTAACAGATCAAGTTGGCTGGCAATTAAGCGGAAATTTTATCAAAAGGAAGTTCAGGACGTTATCTGTCTAGCAGCCCATCCTTTCACTATGAAGTAGGTGAGGTTTATAAAAAGGTGAAGAGGTTACTATGTGATTCACATTGCCTTGATAATGTTGCAGTTGAGAAATCTCACAAGATGGGACAGGCTCTGATCAAGAGGAAAGAGTGACCTGAGATAGCAATCAAGTGCATGACAACAATTTTTACATTTTCTGCAATATTTACATACGTTATACAAACTTTCTGGCAGACAGCCTGAACCCTGATCAGTCAAGGCTAAAAGAATCAAATAATAAAATCCAAATGGAGGAAGGTGATAAGAACCTTTCCAAAACTATACATGCAGTAGTCTCTGTCCTGAATTACGTTAGATATCAGAAAGTTCTCCCTGAGCTCTTCTCCTTCAATCTGGACACTGAGTTAGGTGGCAGAGTGCAGGGAATTTTCCAACAGAAAGTCAATACCTTTGATACTTCCTCAAAATCCCTTCTGGTCCAATCAATATAATGACAGATCCTTCTCTCATGAAACTAAAGAAGAAAATGTTCTGTCAGAAAGACTTTTTTAGCTCTCATGGAAGACAAATTCCTCTTGTTGGTACATAAAAGGGACTGACAGGATCCTTGCTTCCCTTCACCTGGGGAGCTGCACATTGGGCCCTTCCCGTAGGGTGTTGTTCTCTAAACGACTTTTCCAAATTGCTGAATTTCTAAGAGCATACAAAAACTACCACAGCTTCTTCTTAGCCTTCCCAGTTCTATGGAGTAAATGAAGCCAGAGAACATGAGCAGGAAGCATTAATTTGCAGCTTCTCATCAAATTTGCTCCAGACTTGAAGGATTAAAATGAGATTGTACTTAACTCTCATATACAAGACATCTCAAAAGAACTATTAAAAAAAAAAAAAAAAAAAAAAAAAAAAAAAAAAAAAAAACCAACTGCAAAGTGACTGGAACAGCTAATTCCATACTAGACCAGTGTTCACACAAGCATATTTTTGCAACCTGCTATAAGAAAGCCTTCCTCACTATGCAAGGTGGTAATTGCAAGCTAGCTGAATTTCTTCCTGAATTGATATAGGCAGTATATAAAATAAAATATGCAAGGGCATAAATAAATAACCTGTTTTTCCAGGTATTTTTTCTTTTATGTAACACGGCATAATGCTCTGCCTTGCTCAAATTTCTTATGTTCCAGCTGTATTTCACTTTATGTATTATTTGGGTGTTGATGAAAACATGTGCTTTCAAGTCTGTTGCAACAGACCTGTAACAAGGACAATTCTAACTTTTCTTAGCAGGATTTCTGTGCCTTATCAAGATGACTCAGAGCTCCCTTATTTAGTCTCCTTTTGAAATTCCTCTCGTATTCATTGCTCTCATTTGACTTTTTTCAACTGAGGGTTCTGTCATGTGCAGCATGGATGGATTCAGCACTGCCACTGCTGTGGCATATCTGCTGCCCTGCTTTTCATCAGCAAAGCAAAAAGCAGCAGAGTCAGCAAAGGAGATGCATGACTATGTTTCAATTCATAGTGTGCTATTTTGGCCTTAATTGCAGAATGAAGAGGGCATAAGCTGGGACAATGTAGCATGTATTGGGTTGACTGAGCCACCAGCTTTTCCCTCACTGAATGGGAACCAGCAACTAGAAGAGTTTGGGGAAAAAAAAAAAAAAAATTCCAAAGGAGAGAGCCATAAAGCAAATAGCTTCCAGAAGTAGGAAGGAGAGAGGACTGTACCATTCTGTGGACCCACATCTTCCTGAGCCTTAATGTGATGTCTACATGTTAGGTATTACAAGGAAAATTAGGAGATACATGTTCTATTTCCAGCCTGTGCATCTACTGACAGAATGAATTTCATAAGCCTTGTCCTCCTGAAACTGGTGAAACTACTGCAATTTCAACATCAGGCATGTTTCTTTTTCTGCCCATATGCGATGACCTTGGTATGGAAGGATATGCAGCTTTCCAATAGACACAGAACAAGGGTGAATAAGCCAACAGATACACGATGGCTTAGCATAAGCACAACATTTTACACCCTTCTGACGCAGTGCCCAACAAAATGACTGGAGACCTGCTTGTAGCAAAAATGGTTATTCCACCCATATACATGAGTAATTGATAGATGAACCAGAACTAATTCCATGAAGAACTATAGCAATTGTTAGTCAAATTGAGTTTGCCATGGCACATGCTAAAATAATTGCTCAGGGGGATTGCAGGCCATATCTAAGCAGTTAAATTATTACAAGTGGAATCTTTAGACTGGCAATGGATGAGAGAATAAGGTAGTAGCAAAGAGAGCATCATTTTTTAATCAAACAAAACTGCCCTTCTTCCTCACGTTCTATTCCCTCTCTATATGAAGAATTCAACATTTTCACAGATGTTGTCTATAGGCACAGACACACACAAGAATGTCCTCAAGGGTACCTGCATGGAAATCATGTTTCCTGAAGAGGGCTGTTTTACAAAGGATATTTATATCTTTCTCAAATAATGCACAGAAAACTTCCTAGGTGACTTGTCTAGCTAGTACTAACTGACCCTTGCCCATACTCGCATGCAATTCTTAGCAAAGCAGTCTCTTTTTTGTTAATCCAAGTCTTCAAAACAGAGATTACATAGGACATTGTTGGCAAATAGGTCACACACACTGGCTGTATGCAGGCATGTGCATGTCCTTGCAGAACAGGGAGCCAATTGAATGAGAAAGAGAATTGGTTAGACAATGTATTTTGTTTGCATTATTCTTCAGATTATGAATGCAGGCTGTTAAAATGAGTCTGTTTCTGAGCATTGATTACTTGTATATTTGCACCTCCAGAACACAGGCGCAAAGCAATAAAACAATACAATTTCATTTGTCACAACTGACTGTGGAGGAAATAATGCTTGACATAAACTAGATACAAATATTAGGCACGTCTACACCACACTGCTGCATACTGAGACCTTCTGAGTTGTTGTTATGAGCTCATAAACTTGGATATACGCAAAAGAAAAAAGCAAAATGAGCTTTGCAGCCAGGTTGCCAACCTTCCTTACACTGAATAGTATATCACCTCACACAGCACACAACTCATTTACAACTCAGTATGATGAAGAAGAGAATCTATCACAAAATGGGAAATAGAAAGGTCTTCCTCTTCTATGTTATGCAGAAGGTCAACAAAGGTCAGTTAGGAAAACAAATCTTTAGTTGTCATCTGAACCAGGTCCTCCCAGACTCCTTCTGGAACTGACAGCAATTCAGCAAAAGGTGTTCATGGCAAAGACAATGAGTGAAACTCATTTCTATTAAACAAAGGAACAAGTCACTGCATAACATACACAAATAATTTTCTCATGGGAATCTAAGAAAACGTTGTACTGGCCTAAAAATGGCAGTGGTAGAGAAGAATGAGAGCTTTAAAATACCAACTGGACTTTGCAGACCCGTGGACAAACAATTAGGAAAATCACTGCTTGCCAGGTTCTTCTTGTGCACCCTCCTGCCTCAGCACCACCAACTATCCTCACCATCCTTCTCTCTGTAGCTGTTTTTACTATGCAAATGTAGCATCTCTGCCAGTACAAACTGATCAGAAAGCAATTTTTGAATGAAATGTTTTTGGAAGACTTGCTAATTTATCACCTTCTAGGAAGGGTACACACTTGAAAAAAAAAGGTTGGCACATTTTCACCATTATAGCTGTTTTGTTCTGAGTTCAAAAAAATTGTTTTGTCAAACGTAATTCATTAGCTCACTCAGCCTTTCCTATAGGACGCTAAAATGTCTTTTAGTTGGAAAAGTCAACACTAGAAATTTACAGTTTTAAAAAATGAGATAACTAGGACTTGGAGATATATAGTACATATACATAAGCATCTATATACAGCATGTGCATCAGCATAATCAGCTGATTAACAGTGATGATTGCAATGATAGAAATCCATACCTGACACTAACGATGTCCAAACTGATGGCACTACCATACATTTAGATGGAGGCAATTTCCAAATACCTTTGCTGTAACCTCCACTCTAATCAACCACTGAAAGACAGCATACTGTGCTATTCAAGTAATATTTAAATAAAATAAATAAGCCCCCTCCATCCAAAGAAGAAAGATGGATATCCCCTACAAATAGAAAAAAATATAATATCCGAAGTAGTCACTCCTGCCTGACATAAGCAAATGAGTCACTATTTTGACTCTTTTTTTTTTATTTTTATTATTTATTCTTTTCAACTAGGATACCTGCAGAAGTCAGAAAGAAAAACAAACACGAAGATATTCTATCTTGGATGCTTAATACTTCTCTAAGCCAAAGCCTATAAACATTGACATTGTTGCATAAGCTTTTCCATACTTAAAAAAATCACTAGACTTGATTTTTTATTAACCTTGCTCTTATCAATTGTTTGAATACTGATACTCATCTTGACTTTTAGAATTGAGATTTTATTGATTCTTCAGCTACATCTGATTCTTATGAAAAAGATAAGGTCCTTTCTGTTAGACATCTTCTCCTTGGGTCATTGCTTGATGAACTTAGGAACTTTACACAGCAACTTGGGTATGAGTAAATGGACTTCTTGAGTCCAATAAAGATTGGAAAATGGCTTACTAAATCATGTATTTATTTGATTTCCCTACGGACAAGAAGCAACAGACCTTACATTAGGGTCCTGCAGGCTGGAGGTCTTACTGGGATTTACAAAAGAGGTCTCTTCTTTCACAGCCTGTTAAAAGAAGGAGTTAAAGTTTAGTACAATGTCCATAAACTTAGGATTATATATGTTTTCTTTAAAATATTCCTGTAGGTACTTCATAAAACCGCAACGACCAAATGTCTCCTCTGCCCAGAATAAAAAGCATAGATATTTTTTAATCATCATCAAACACTGAGATTCACTGTGATGAGCTACAGTGTACAATAAAGAGAGCAACAGTGATAGGAAGATATTGGGTAGGGATAAAGGAGGGGGAAGCAAAGGAACACAGATATTTATGTTTCCCCCAGAAAGCAGAAATAATAAAAATCAATCCAGGCAAACATGCTGATATTTGAGCTGTTCTTTCAATTGGAGTAAAATAAATATTTACATAGTCTAATCAAAACCACGTCAACTCAACAGCTTTTCATTCAGTCGTTAGAAAAATATACTGAAAAAATGAGATCCCCTACAAATAATCACTCTGCACATGCAGTTCACAGAAAATCTCACCCATTACCGCTCTCTGCTAAATTACAGCATTCTCTGTCCTTCATATCATTTGTCTATAGAGTAGAAAATACTAACACTGCAAAATGACTTACATGGAAATTGCTTGATTACCCAGGAAACACCCAGTTCAGGCAGGTGTTAGTAGATTATACTCTTCAACTGAGACGCAGGGTTCCACAATCCATGTGTAAATGCCCATTTCAGGGCAACACTGCACCCTTCTATAGAAAATACCGGCTGAAGACACAGGAGTATCTCAAAATCAGTAATGGACTTGGCAGGCTCTGACATTTCCATTCTGCTACATGGATAGATGGAGCTGATGCAGGTCTACAGCAGAGCGATTCTTCAGTGCTCAACATGTGAACCATAATAATTTGAGGGCACCGGTGGAGATCAAATTGCATTAAATGTGTCGGTCTCATTCTTAAGCAGAGCTCAATAAGGATGAGACAGGTTCCTTCAAATCAGATCAAAGGATTTTACAGGCATATAAAAAATTGTAAATTTGACAAGACGTTCCATTCAATGCATTCAATTTGAGGGTGCTCATAAGAAAAAAAAGAAAAAAGGAAATTAAGGCCTGAGTTTCTTCTATGCCTCAGTAGTAAACTAAAAAACATCAGAAGTGATGCTCAGTGCTTGGGGAAATCAACCAAGTCGTGATAGTTCTAGGTTAGTTTCCCCCTTGTGCCAGAGTGAACAAGCCCCCATTGCCACTTGGCAGTTCACTATTTATCAGAGCATCAGCCATGGCGGGCACACGTGGTGCACGCTTCTACACGCAATTACCTATAAGGTCCATTAAACCTGGAAGCCTGGTAGAAAGTGAATTCATTCCTGGGACTGCCCCAGTGCAGGCAAATACCAGAGGTGATGAGCTAGGCAGTATTTTGACTTAAGGCTCTCCTCAGCCCTTCCCTTTAGGGTTGTTGCACCTTGTGTCTTAATACTGAAACCACCACTGACACAGTCAGCAGGTCTGTCCCTCTCCTGAGGGTCTGGTTTGCACAGATGAAGCTACTCTATGGATAGCTTACACAGAGGATAACAGGACCAGCAGCAGGCACAGGTTCAACATGGCTAGAAGTTTCTTAAGTGCCCTGCAAATGCTCTAAATCATAAGGAGCCAGATAAAGGGGAGACATGATCACACCCTCACCACACCACTGTAGCACAGCCACCAGATGTTTTACAGCTGAAGTTTTCAGTGAATTAGCATCATGCCATGAATAATTTCAGAACCAGAAGTGTTATTTTTTAATTTAGAGAAATTTGTAATCATAATAAATTCAACTCAGTTCTAGAAACCCCCTTTTTTTTTTTCTGCTGATTTCCTAGTAGCTCTGTCTAGCCTAGTATTTAGTCACAATCCAGTGCTTTCTTGAAAGGAATTTTTTTTTTTAATTTTTTTTAGGAATTGAGAGAAAGCATTGAAAATCACTCTTTGTTGACACAGAAGAGCATTGAAGTATTTTTTTCTTTGTTCTGCAGAAATTATAATGCTTTTTATAAAGCTGTCGGGTTTCTGAAAGCTGTAAGCATGAATCCACACATCAGAAACTTAATACACAGCGTCTTCTTTCACACTGATGTCTTAGCAACATTCTATTGTTAAGTCTGACAAACTAGCTGTTTATGATGTGTCAAATTGGCTACCTTTTAAAACTGCAAATTTTACTTTATTCCAATTTTCACCAAATTAATTGAACTGCATTTTGAGATGCTCTTGAACACAACAATAAAAAGAAAACATGGGGGTGAAGGATGCAAGGCAGGGGCTGCGACCAAGATCAAAATGATTAAAATTCTGCCTACATAAACACCATAAGATCTCATTAGCCAGTTGAGAGGGCTTCATTGTATTATTCCCTAACAACTGCCCTTGGTTTCTTATGTGTTCTGTGGCTACATTACCATTTTCTTTTGACTTCTCTGCAAAAGTAGGTTAAGCCTATTTCTCAAGAAGCAGTATAGTCATAAGCAGCATGATCAACGCTCTGAGAAACATCCTTTGTATTAATTTTCTTTATTATTACTTGTACCCCAGAGAACAAAAGAGACTTGGGTACCTACAAATAAATACTGTAGATTAGCAGGTAAGTAATCCCACTAAACTGGGGGGGGGAAAGGGAGTACATGAAGAAATGGAGGCTCCTGCTGAGCCTCAGGTGGTGCAGGAGTGCACTGGCAAGTGCACCTCAGTAAGGATGGGATAATTCTCCCCAGCTCTACACTTCTTCTTGCCTATGCATGAATGGACACAGGAGAATGTTACAGCCATCAGCACCTATGTTTCCTTTACTTGCTTGGTTGGTCTATTCTTGGTTTGTTTTCAGAAGGAAGTGGGTAAGTCATCAGCTGATAGCTTCCTTTGTTTTTCCTTCTAATTAGGCAAATAACACTCAGTAACTGTGCAAAGACATCCTCAGCCTTACTGTAAAGATGTGAGCATTACAACTGCACACACCATGTACATATACTCAAAAATAATCATTTATATAGAATCAGATTCACTTCATAATTAGCCAAAGAGAAGTAAGCTGGCTTTTCTAGCTACTAAACTACAAAGCAAACAAAATTAAAGGTTGACCGATACCAATCAATTCACACAGTATCATTCTCTTTTTCTCCTTTCTTATCTGCACTGGGCTACAGCAAAAATAAAGAAATAGAAAATCTTAATGTTCCACTTTCATATGCCATTAACTTTCTCAATAGCGCTAGAAACAAAAGTAAAGCATTATTTTCTCATTCTAAAGATAAGAGACATGCACGAAGAAAAATGGCATTGTACAGACTCTTTTCATAGGTAACCGCTAAGAAAATTTAGTATGAAAAGAGGAGAAAATCATTTGAGTAACAGCAAGAGCATCTTGGGTATCTCTCCTTCATCACAAAGTGAATTGCTGTGGCTCTCTCATCCCATCCAATCTGTAACAGGAGTCACCTGAATCAGCAAAAGGACTTCGTAAAGAATCTGATCACTGCAGCCAAGAGTCAGAGTCAGGTTCTTGTTTAAGTGAGAAAAGGGTCTGAAAAGCTCTTACCGTACACACCACAATTTCACAAAGTTCTCACATAGAGGAAGTAACAACACAGCTTTCATATGTTTGGAGATCTTCAAAGGTGAAGAAGCAATGGCTCTCAGTACAATGGTCTGGAAATACTTGACATTGATTGCCCTTTCTTTCTGCCTAAGGATGCCTGGGAGGTCTGATGCATAACAGGTTTTTCAGCTCTTCATCAACATTTTTGTTATTTGTCAACCACACTGATTTTGGCTGATCTCATTAGATAATACAGGATAAGCAACACATCATTGGGAAAAACATCCTGCCAAGGTGAACCTAACTTGGTGATTTAATATGCCAAACTTACCATTTCAGGCAGAAAAACATGATGATTAGGTCTCACAGGAATGGACTGCTGTTCCTTCCCCCAGAGCAGGGCTGAGAACCATACATCTCCTGGGCTATGGTTGGCTCCCAACACCTCACTGCAGTTAGCACCATTCACCTCATCACATACTGGCACTTACAGCCAGGAGATAAAACTGACACATTGACAACATGTTGTCACAATCTTGTGATACCACTGTCATACTTGCCTCCAATATCTCAGTGAATAACTTATAGATTTCTCTTTTTCCCACATTCTGTTTATCTAAATCCTCCCTCCTCTCCTGCACCTCAGCAAAGTTACCACATCATTTCCTCAGCTCCTTCCCTATCTTCAAGGTGTCATTGCTGATACGCTTCTAACCATATATCATATATTGATCATCCTGGCCCACACACAACCAGAATCTTGTATTTTTTTTACCTAACTCTCTTCATTTTCTGTAGTTGAGCAACCCTGTTTCCATTCAGAGATAGAAGGCAGAGAATGTGAAGAAGAGCTAATTTTGAATTCCACTGTTATGAACAATTACAAGCAACATGACGCTGCACCCACCTGTTGTTGGATCTGAGAGTCCCAGCCCAATCGCTTCTCTTTCCTTAGCCTGAAAACTTCTGGAGAGTTTATTGCTCATCCAAGCAGGTGACTAATAGCAAGGGCTGTAGCAAAGCATCGTGTGCTTTAGGAGTTGTGCAGGCTTCCCCCACAGCCTGTACATCTCAGCCACAACCTGCTGTACATGCATAATTCCAGCTCTGATCTCTGCACAAAGACAGTCAAACTGTGGGGTTGCTTTTTGCTGTCAGTAAGGATGGGTAAGGGGAGGGAGAAGAAAGCAAACAGGATCTCTTTTGTGATGGAAAGAGGTTAAAAAGTCAGAAAAGCTGATGGTTTCAAGGTACTTAAGTCAACATCTAGTGAAAGCTGAGAGCTCCTCAGGGAATCCAGAAGGATTTCTTTAAGTCCTGTTATAAGAGAGACTGGTTAGATCTAAATCCTCAAATGTCTTCCCCTCACCTAATCTATTTTCATTCATGACCTGATTAGGGTTTGAATCCAGCGTTTGGAGCTTTATCCTTATGCGGATAAAGCTCCAAAGACTCAGTTTATATAAAGATAGTGAATTATTTCTAAGAGCAATAGCAAATACACCTGGATGTTCAGGTTGACAAGTCCTTACATTTGAATCTTTCCATAAAGGGCACAGCATCACAAAAAAGGTAAGGAGTCACCAAAAATGTAGCCAAGAAAGACTAGGTCTCTGAGTCATTTCAATTAATACACTCTTTCTACTATAAACACTGCATACGTCCCAGTCTCATTTGGATTTGTAGCGACTGCTTGTATCTATATAGAGAGTACAGGCTGCAGGTTGATACCGGTACCCATGTTGACCTGAGACATTTCCTGCAGCACAGCTGAATCCTCTCCTGGATGCAGCTCAAGACAGCACGAACAACATGCACTTCTTCACGTGTTTGAAAAACTTGAAGCAAAACTGCATCATCATCACCTGTACCTGCTTCTTGGACAGAGAGGAAAGAGAGACATGGCTATTGATGCTGGTATAAAAATTTACAAGTGTATAGGCTTGGGAGGAATGACAGTGTGAGAAAGGGGCCAGAGGAGTGAATGTGCCTTTGTTTACTAAGAATCAAGGCAGGAGAATCAATTGCTGAGGAACACAGACCTGTCCAAGGAGACCCTTACCAAGGGTTTCCCCTGGGGCTGATAAAGCAGAAGCAGAGAATAGAGCACTAACTTGCAGGGTTGTGTCTGGGAAGTGGAGGATAAAACCTCAAGGAAAGAAACAGAGGGGAGGAGAATGCCTTTTCTCATCACTTTTGTCTTAACAAGCAACCCACAGTTGCAACAGGTTAGGAATACAAACACCACTTGCAGAAGATTTCTGGAACAAAACACAAGTTCTATGCCAAAAGAAGGAGCCCTGCTGAGATGGTTGTACATTTGCTCAGGAGCCTGCACTTAATGCCAAGAATAATTAGGATTTGTCCACACCCAAGTAGATACAAACAGCAACCAAAACCTCTTGTGCCCATGAATTGGGCCATGGACTGCTTTGCAAAATGGACTCTTTGTGATACTAACAAGTTGTCCAATCAATCACAGCATATCAGCACTGACTCATGCAAGCTGCAAAGGGGTTCTAAATGCCAGGCAGAGCTGGTCTTTTGTATTCTGGCAGCTCCTCCCTGCTGCCTTATACCTCTCTCTCTCTCAGATGAAGAGCCTGGAATAAATGAAAAAAAAAAAAAAAGAAGAAGAAGAAGAAGAAAAGAAAAATGTCAGTCGCTTTGCAGTGTTTAGTGCTCCCCTGGAGCTTAATTATGTGGGAACTGAGATACGCAGTCTGTCAGCAGGAAGGTGGCAGATCCCTGTAGCACAGTTAGAAGGCTGTGTTGTGAAATACTGCGGTTTTGTTCTAGACCTACAGATACCCACGGTAGGGCAAACTGCAGATTCTCACGATAACATGTGAGTTCCTCACATTTCTCATCCGTGATGTCTGCACCAGTGCGCTCCTGGATTTGGTTTCAAGTATCCTCACACCCTCTGTACTTCGATTCTCCAACTTGCAGAAAGGCACATAAATATTTCCATCTTCACCACACAAACAAAGTCACTCTTGTTAGTCTCCTGCTGCTCTCTAGCTCTACACCACATGCAGGGCTCAGCAAATGGCACCGTAAACTCAGAAATGTTCAGTGTCTAAGTCAGGACTGTAGTCACAGGAGATGGTATATTGCCCCCTAGGAAAGCAATAAACAGCTCTTCAGCATGATTCAGAAATGAGGCAGTGCAGAGACCAGCTTGGAGGATATATTTTCAAATGTACCACATCATTTACCCTGTTTTTATATTTGAAATCATAAGTATTAGAATCATTCATTTCTAAGACTCCCTCAAGTTGGTGTCTAGTTGCCAAAAAGAAAGAAAATTATATAAAATATCCTGCCCTAGATTTCATTGTTCACTCACAAACATTTACTCAATTGCCAGCATTAATGACAAAGAGCTTCTTCTACCACACCCAGGAGATGCCTTTATAATCTTGTCACATCCTGTTGTTAGTAGCATATGGTATTGAAAACATCCTCACTGCTTGGAAGAGAGAGCTGGTGCAAATATTTCAAGCAAGTTTGTTAATTTTGGATCTGATCCCACAGTGCACCAATATTTTTTCACACTTTTACACCTAACTATATAATGATAACATCCTGTGAAATTTCATGAAGGATGGTTTAGACCATAGACTTCTGGGGATGTTTAAAAAATAGATTAGTAGATACTCTATCCAGCTTTTAAGAAAACATTTTACTTCAAATAGCATGTGCGTAAGATATGATCTGTTTTTTTCTCCTTCCTTTTACAAGGTGGAGGGGAGCAAATCCTCAGCTTCTAGTAACACCATATAATAAAGAAAGATCTATGGAGTACATGAGGAAAATCAGCCCGTGTTTCTATACGGCAACTGAAACAGACTTTTCTTTACAAAACATAGTTGTACTTTTTGCTCAGGCTGCCTTGTAAATTGAAATATGTCAGTACAGAAGACAAAAGATGAGAAATTTGAGGGTATTTCTTTTAAAAGAATGAGGCTGGAAGGCTTCAAAGGATTTACTGAAGCCAAGACAGTGCCAGGCAGAGAACAGAAGGGTTAGTCCCCCAGATATACTGGGCAGCAGGAGATGTCAGATACGGTCAAAGAGGGGCATGATCACAGCCCTGAAGGAATACATGGAATTCAGTGGTTGTCTGACATGAAGATACTATTTCTTATCTGCCCCCTGCAAAGGATGCTCTAAATGTCTCTGGGCAGTGTAGTGCAATCCCGGCTCCCTTTTCCCTGAAGGTGACTGAATTGCCACCGGGAAATGGTTTACCTACTTGCATTCAGCCAGATTTTCATGCAGCAGGGAGTACAAGAGATTACCGGGCGTTTTTATGGCAAGTTGGTAAGGTGGTTTACTGGGATTCCAAGTAGCCCCCTCCATCCTCCCATTTTCTAGGTTACAGACAATGCATTTCCTACTGCCTTCTCCTCCTTTAGTCTACCCTTTTCCAGCACTTGTCTAGCCACAGCTTCTTACTGCAATGACTGACCACTGCCTCATCTCTATCTACCTCTTTTTGGAATGTGTTTGGGAAGGGTAATAATTCACATGTGCAGGAAGAATTCATCTCAGTATCACAGGCATTCCTGCGACTAAGAAGGGAGCTGAAGGAGGATTTCCAAGTAGAGGTGACATCCTAGCTTGCTGGCTACCCATCTTAAGCCATACTCCTTTAGCACTGAAACCTACAGGAATTTCAGACTGAACTGCATGCCATTATATTTCCACAGCATGTGATATCCTGCAGCAGCCTTCCTTCCATTTCTTCAACCTGAAATCATAAGGGGCCAAGCCTATGACATGTATTTAATCCAACCTGACTGCTAAGCCTTGTGCAGAACATCATGGGTATGAAGGAAAAAAGGAGATGCTCAGGTTGTTCTGAACCTTATTTGCCAGACAGCAACAGCTAAAGAACAGAGTTGTGGCATGATGAAAAAGCAACCCAGGATGTTCTCAGAAAACCTCAGGGTGAAAAATTAAATCAGGGCAGGTGAACTGAGAGATGCATATGTTTAGCACATTTTCTATCTTGCCTTAGTAATGCTGTACTCTGAATGCAGCAGCACACACTGCTTTCAGTCCTTAACCATCCAGTCAAACATGATCATTAAGTATATTCTGGGGAAAATACAAACTTGAGAAATACACCACGACATCCTGTAGAAAAGAGTCACAGAGGAAAAACAGAGGGCAAAATCGAGGGCAACCAGACAAGAAAAAGGCTGCATAAAGCACAGTTGATATAGCACAGATTTCAGAAAGAGGTGAGAACTGCTTTAAGCATAACAAAGAAAAGAAAAAAAAACAATCCTCCTTCCCCTGCATGCTGTCAGATTTATTGTTTCTGTTTGTGAAATCTAGGGCAGTCAGAATTAAAAAAAAAAAAGAAAAAAAGAGATAATTTCTTAGGTCTATCTAGACCAGAGTTGTCTAGTTCTTAGATGAAAGATCTGCCAGGGAACAACAAACACACAAAGATGATTGTTAACAAAATCTTTCCAGGGCAAGCTGACCTGCTGTGTTATTGAAAAGACACAAAGTGATGGAAACACCAATATAATTTCTATTCAAAAAGAATAGTATGCACAAGGATAACACAGGAACTTGGATAAGTTATAAGAGTCATTCTGCCTCTACTTTTGTTCCTAAAGCATTCAATTTGGCTTTATTTTTGTCACAAATAGCTTTAGCTTTTGTCCACTAATTACACTTGCAAGGAATCATATATTTTAGGTTTCACTTAGATTTACTTCTCACTGGGAAACTATCTTGTTACAGTCCTGCCATCTAACAGTAACTTTCATTTGTATGGCATTGCTGCAAAACTTGTGGTGTCTTTGAAATGTGGTGTATCTGATGTCAACACTGAAGTGCAAATAGCAGCAGGAAACTTAGTACAAGGCATGCTAACAAGTAAGAAAACCATAGACTAACTAACATTTCACATTAGAATTATTAGAATCCCCTAAAAAAGACTACATCTGGTTGCATAATGTTATTACAACACCTTTAGCCATAGTTTCCATGAGTGTTGGGCAGCCTCAGAAAACTCCAGAGGTTAATGCTTCTCAGCTGCAAAGTAAGCAACAGCTGGCATGACAGAATCAAAACACAGAGATTTCCTGAGACACTCTTGGCTGTATTATTTGTGTCAGTAAGGACAAATTTCCCATTTCCATCATATCAATCACAGTGACATAACTGAATAAACTGCAGAGCAGCTAGAGAAAGCTAGGTCAGTATGGACACGCTTGATAAAATAAGGTGCTTCCTCAGGAGTGACATGGTTTTGAAAAATTTCTGTAGGCTATACCTAAATTAGGAAATAATACCAAAATAAAGGAAGTAATTCCAAAATACATTCAAGCACAGATTACCTGAGTGCCTACTCTGAAAGCAGCTTCTACTTGAGCTTTAAGAATGTTGCACTTCATATGATCAGGGACAGAGGAAGGCGACACAGGGGGATGAAGAGTCTTTTCAGGTACCTTTTTCTCTTCAACCTATTTTTAATAGAAAAGACAAGCACAGTGATTTACATTAGAAAGATAAATCAACAAGATGGTAAGACTTCCAGGTACAACAACTCAATTCACCAATGCAGGATAAAACTTACATGCTAATAACCAAATAAATATGTCTTACAATAAAATATTTCAAAGCATTAAATGACTTGATACTATTATCACAACAAAAAAAGCCATCAGGAAAGCCTGATTAATAAAAGAAAAAACTATCTCACAGAGCTAAGAAAGATGGAAAAAGCCCAGCCAGACTCTGGAGTCACTGCCAAACCTGTGATCACACTGAGTAAGCACATTACCTCTAGAACATCACAGGCAAGCAGAAGTGGGAAAGTTGCACAGCATTCAACTGTAGTGAACTCTGGTTTCTTATACCACTCTAAGAATGTAAAGGAGCTCTGGAAATTTAACCAGGGGGATTTGAAGGGATCTCCACATAATTGCAAGCCAAGTGAAATCTCTTTTATCAGAGAGTGGAAAAATTGCTGCTGCTTCTGCTTACCTACTGTCAACACCTTACCTACTCAGTGTTCTGGATCACAAATCTAAAGCCTTGGGACAGCTAGCTTAGTGACCTGTTCAAATATGACCTAAAGGTTTTGTGCCTTGAACAAACAACATCCAGCAGAAATGCCAGCATAAATAAACTTCCCATGCAGAAAAGAGAAAATAAAAGGACAATGTAATACTGATGTATAAACAAACTGGGTATGGAAGAGACCAGGTTTGTAAACGCAAACACAACCAACCACACTGCAATTTCTCATATTTTTAAGGAAGAACTGGCTGTTCTAACTTTCCTGTTCTTTCTGGAAATGAGATCTGAACAACAGATGAACAGTAGCCCACATTATGCTTTCATTTTCCTCTCATGTTTCTGCAAAGTGTGAGTGGCTGCATACACCCGGACAGAAGGAAGCAGAATGCTGTCGTTCAGACCTAACTGCATTCTCTGTGACCTCCAGTCCAGCTGGAACCCCCCCATGGCTACCTACTGGCTGATGGTAATTAAAACCTCAGTGACCCTTCTCTCATGTCCAAGATCAGTCACAGACAGAAAGGAACTTCATGTTCCAGGGGCACTTTCTGCAAGTGCAGCAAATCACAAATATAGTTTTGTCGACTGAGAGGAGACCATTTTGTAAATGTTGTTGGAGGAAGAACCAGATCTGTGCAGAGTTCTATTGAGACTGCAAGATATTTATCATGCGTTCTCAAAGCTGGTCCAGCAGACTCCTGCACCCAAAATGTCAAAGCTGCCAGGTATGATCTCAAACAACTTACTGCTAAAGGACTGCCCATCCTGAGATTTTTCTTTATCTGTCAAATCTCAAATAATTCTTACAGGCTTATTTGCCAAGCCACATTTACTATTTTTAATGGAAGATATTTTTGGACATTTCACTCTCCTCACTTTCCTCTTAAGGGGAAAAGAAAATATTAAAAGTGAAAAGTGACAGCTTCGGGCTGGAACAACTTACAGAACTGTAGCTATCTATTTAGTTTTGACTGTAACTTTAGTTCTGGCAATAATCTGAAAAAGAAATATTCATTTGCCATAAGTGTTTTTTTTCCTAGGGTACTCATGAAGATTAAGAAGTGGAGATAATCAAAAGAAAGAAAAAAAACATGGAGAAAGTACAACTTCTCCTTGAGCAACAGCCTTGTTAGCCTGAGTGCACTGCTATACAAAAAAGCTGCCACAGTTGTCAACTTTTAATAGTATTGATTTCTAACAGCAAAAAGAATAACACACTAAGCAATGACATTTCTAAAGGCCGTGCAACACACCACCTTTGTTTTAACACTGGATTCTAATTAAATAATGTTTCAGCGAAGCAAGATTAAGTAATTGCATTTCACTAGCTAAATCAAGACAACTGATGCTTATGAGGACATAAACTTGCTTCTTAGCCTCTTCTGTCCATATAGGAATATTGTCCAGTCCTTACATTCTTCTCCTGCCCAGTTTCCCCACACTGACCAAAAGCCCTGCAACTGGGAATCTCCATCCAACAGGTCTAAGCCACCTGCTGCATAGAATTATATCAGGATACATCCCCAGTGTGGTCCTTGACATGCCAGTCACAAACTATGATCCTCATTACGAGAAGGGTCCAAATGCTGCTGCCTTGGCTGAAAATGGGCACCGAGTTCTGCACCAGTCTTTCTTTGGGTCAGACTGTAAGCAAGCAAAACTCACTTTGCTTGCATCCATGAGCAGCAGCATCTCTGCAGACTGCTCATAGGTGATGCGCAGACACTGCTGCTGCTTGGGCTCGTCTTGCTCCCCAGGTGCTGAGCCAGCGGCCCAAGGCCACTGCCTCTGCTTACTGCCAGAGGAAATGTCAACTGCACACAAACACCAATGGGGCCTAGGGCTGCTCAACCTGACCCAGAGTCCTCTAGTTACTGAACATACCTGAAAAGGCAAACACATCTCTGCCAGCCTGCCTTGGCAACAACAGACCCTGCGCCACAGTGCAGCACACCCTGAGTCAGCCCTGAACTCAGCCCTCACGCAGCTGATTATCTGAGCCTATTAGACATACATTTGCAGTGGCATCCAAGATCCAGATGAAATGTGAACTCCAATCACAGAACAAAGTAGCAACTATTTATTTTAGACTATTAGCACTTCAAAGCAGCTATGTAAGTTCCCATTGTTCTTTAATGTCATCAATCTTTACATATAACCCTGTTAATCTCCTAATTAATCTCCTAAAGTACAATTGTCACCAAGAAGGAAAAAAATAATGACTACATAAAACCATACAGTAACTTCTGAAGTTCATTTTCTTAGTTCAAACACAAACCTGACAGCATTATGGAGTCTTTATATACTATTACTGCAAGGAGAGCTGTAATATACTTTATTTCATCATGGAATAAAGAAATCTTATGCTTCTAGAACCCTTATTGCTTGCAATGATGAGTGAAGCATGCAGACTGCAGCTGGGTATTTAGATGCTGCACCAGGTTAGCAGTTATTAAAATTTTATTTTCACTTATAAACTAAAAGCATTCAGTGTGGAAGTTGTTAGAAGTCTAAATATGGCACAATGTTAATGAAACTGCCAATCTTATCTTTTCTTATTGTGTACTTCCAAAAAGTCTGAGATGCTAGTTTTAAGTGACTGTCTGAGAGTTAAGATTGAATTTAAAATAAATAATCTCCTTGCTTAAAATTGCAATCTAAATTCATCTTAAATGGTCTGTAAATGAGAAAAAAAAAAAGTTGACGTTAACTTAAGCTACCTGATGGCACTCCAGTTTTCCATATCCACTTCTTCTGGTGCTATAAGATAGCAATGTGTTCATATCCCTTTCACCACTGATGCAGAACTTTATTTTTCCAGAGAGGGAGAATTGCTTTTAAATTGATTTTGATAGAAGTGGGGTGAATAAGCTTATATATACATGTATATACATACAAACTAGATGTATTTTTCTCTTTGTAAATGAAGACTTAGATTTACTTTTCTCTTCTCAAATATTTACTTTAAATTCAATTACATTCACTGACACTGGAACTGAAGGCAGATTTGTACAGTGTTAGATAATGATGACACAAGCTTTGGTTTGCAAAGCTAACTGAATATTAAGTACATGTACAGAATACAAAAATGAATCACGGCAAAACCATTTCTATACTTAACATTTCCATTCCCTCTGTTCTGAAAGGTTCATTCTCTGTTCCATATCAAACTTCTCACTGATAGAAAGATTAATTATCTTTTGCCTCCGATAATTTATCAGTACTCCTTCAGCCAAACAGTAAGTTTAATGCACATCTTTGGCTGAAGACTTCTGAGGAATCAAATGAATGTTTTGGTTAAGGCATGTTCTCCACTGCTAGTAATCACAGCAGGTTGGAGGCAAGATTTTAATGACAACAGCATTGATATGCAGATTCTGAGTGCACATTAGCTATGTACAATCATAACCCTTGGTTTCCTGGGACTCACATATACCTGCTAACATGCACAGGTCTGGGATGGTAACCCAGACCTGTGGAGGCACGAGCTGGTGCTGGAGACCCCATGATTATAAACAAATGTAGACCTGGAGCTGAATGAAACTGGTATTCAGGGGCAATGAAGGCAACAAAAGCATAGTAGCTAGCATGTGTAAAGGTCACCAAGTATAGTAAATTTGAACGGGAGACGAAGATGCAGATCAATGAAGAAAGACCAAGGTGTAAAAGCATATTAGCAACAAAAGTGTGCTAGCAAAAAAGGCCCCAGACAGATTCTAGAATGAGGAAGATGCTATCATCACGAAAATCACATCCCTGCTGCTGACGTACTCACTGCAGCATCCCTTCTGCCTCCCCATTGCAGTGAAGCCACCAACCTTAGGACCCAGGAGTAAAAAGGATGGTGAGTGTAACACCAGCAAAAGGGGTAGAAACAATTTAAACTGTACCATTATTCTTTCTTCTTTTGTAATAATTATACCCAGACTAATAATGGTCAGACTCTACAGATTTCACAAATTATAACTACACATCCTTGGTTTTATATCACATATACACATGTATACATGTGCACACGCGCAGACCAGAGGGGACAGGAAAAAATGTACTGCAAAAAAGAAAATTAGAAATACATTCTCAGCTGCAGTATTTGGCCCTGAGACTCCTGGAGATTAAGAAATCCACCAGCACAAAAGGGCATGAAACACATGTTGAAATTGACTTTTGTCATTTAGTAGGTGGACAGACACGTCTACTATACCAAACAGCCCTGGAAAAGAGATTGGACACATCCATTCATCATTCCCATGAGACAGAGTTTGCTGTAGCCAACAATCAAATTAATTAACTGCTGAATCTAATTTACCCAAATTCTCGTTAATTCTCCTCTGGGTTGATTATTAGGTCTGACAAATTCCAGCCCCAAAGCACTTTGCTTGAAAAAATAATAATTAGCAATGGGCAGAGAGCAAATGAAAGTTGGGACTCCACAATAGATTTGGAAACCATGTTTGTTCTCAGAAATAGAGTGAGCGAAGCAGCTCCACAAGTACTCCACTGGTTTTGTTTAAGCATACTTTTAAGAGGACAAAAAAAACAGGGAATAAAAAGCACTTAATGGAATAGAAAGCAATGGTGTGGTGCAGGAGAAATGTTGCAGCTTCACTTTTTTCTCAGAAGCTAGACATACTGAGAACTCATTAAAACCTGTTTGCTGCTGGACTCAGTAGGTAGTCAACAACTGAAACCAGAGGAGGCTTAAGAAGGCCACACTCTCAGTGGAAAAAACTTGTCAGAGTTCAATGCCACTCAATCCTGTCTAACTTGCCCTGCTGCTTTTGTGCTGTGTGGTGCTCAGCAGCATTTCAGCCTGGGGTTAGCGCAATATTTAAAGCAAGTCCTCCTTTCACTGCAGAAGCCATCTGCTGAGGCTGTTCCATGTTCTACTCAAAGCTCAAAAATGAGTGGTTTGTTTGTTTTAGCTTTGCAAGCTCTGGGTATACATTTCATGAGGATCTGTGGTTTAGTGCTAGTGGTGGCAATGGTGATGAGGAGACGGTTGGACTAGATGATCTTGTAGGTAATTTCCAACCTTGTGATTCTATGATTCTATGATTCTAAGTCAGAAAATTGTGCTTCAAGAAGGAACGACAAGTGAGGGGCCAAAAGAATTCAAAATTCACAACCCACTTTTTGTAATAAGAGGTCTTCCTTCCAGTGGGGCATATTTCAAGGGCACATACAACAATCAGATGGCTCAGAACAGTAACTTTCACAAACCTTGAGGGCCAAGCCTTCGCACTCACCTACATGGTAACTGTTTTTCATAGGATCGCTGCACAGCTCCTAAAATTGAATCTTCTCAGACTGTCAGTGGAGGGTTTTCATTACACTGCCTGTGCCTGTTGCCTGGCCTTCTGCAGAGCTTCTGCCAGAAGCAGAAGCAATTAGCAGTTCCTAGGACTCAGTGCAAGACATTTTCATCAGCTAAGCTTTGACTGATGGAAGTCTCATTGCAGCAGACACTGGCTGCATTTGCTGTGCAGCTGCATTTTTTGGGAGCATTGACTTGCTGTGGTACTGAGTTTTGTTCATTAGTACTTAAATAAATAATCCACCTGACTGCAGACAAGATTCTAGAGCTGTCAGGAAAAGCCAAAGGAAATCATTAGTTATAGAAGAGCTGAGTTCTCCCCTCGCAGATTTTCAGAAACAAAAAAAGAATGAGAGGATCAGAAGTCAGGCTTATCCATGCAGAAGTTGCAGGGATATTTTAGGAGACAAATTGTATGGTATGGTGGAATATAGGACTGAAGTGTTTTAATTCTCTTTTAATGAAAGAAAAAAGGTCATAAATCTACTCATTTTGAGATCACAAGGGTACACAAGGGCAGATCAGCTGCTTGGCTCTTTTGCACAACACAAGCCAAACTAGTTTAACCACTTCTGCACTATGGTCAGCATGGAGAGATTCCTCCAGCTGCTTTGCTTTAGCATTTTGAAGATGCCAAACTGAGCTGTCAATAAGATCAGTAACGTAAGACTATCTTTTAAAGCATGCTTTGGGTGTTGCACATAGGTAAGTGTTGTGAGCTGGAGTTAAGACAGAGTATCAAGAAATACAACTGAACTACAGTGCTCTGGTCATGTGATGGTGGGTATTCACTGGATGAAATCACAAGATGAAAAATTTTACTTTGGCAAAATATGTCAATGCTTAATTAGCTCTGCCTATAAAATCTATACTTATTTTCAGTTAAGAATACTTCTAGAGGAACTTCACATCCAGGCTGTGTGGCAGGATTTTCCATTTCCCCCTTATTTGTCTCCTTTACAATTTGACTTTTTACCCCTCATCATAACAAGCAAATGACAGCTCCTTACAGATAAGAATGAACAATTTTGGACAAAAGTCTAAGACATTCCACCTTGAGGTGTTAATTCAGCAAATTCAGAACAATGCCTTATGACATAGGTCATTGCCTCGTGACTCTTCAAACAGCACTTGATGAGGGAAAGCCTAGGCATCAGGGAAGACACAACCTAAAAAGCGCCCTTGGTATAGAGACCAGAATAGGATCATTACAGCTTCCATAACATATTGATTTCAATTACCTAGAATGTAGGAAAGATAGTCCAATATCTGATTTTAACTTCCTTAATGACTGTTGAATAACATTAACAATAAAAGGCTACCTGTGAAACCAAGGCAAAATAATTTGAGCTCTCACTTGAACTGACAGAAAACATTCCAAAAACTTTTTTTTTTTTAAACATCTATATTATCAGTCGGGGGCCAGACCACCTCATTGGAATCCAGTGGCAATGTCTCACTGACTCCACTGGGCTCAGCTCAGGACTAATCCTAGAGGGCTTATTACAAACAAGAGGTGCAGACCACTGTAGCTCTATCCAGAATAACCTCAAGGAATACCACAGAATGGGGTCAAGTGGATTTTGCCTCACATGGATACCAGGAGCCCCTGACCTGGCAGTCTCTGGTAGAAGCACTGAGACACAGATGTTTTGCCACCCCTGCATTGATCAAACACCCACTAATATCAATTGGTCAATTGCCAGGGGAGTTAACACAAACACTTCATGTAGAGAAACAACTTCTTGGTTGTTTTTGTTTTGTTTTATTTTAATTACTTGAAGTGTTGTTATTTTTTTACAGCTCAGGGCTGCCTCGATGCCTAACTTCACAACCAAATTAAAACTACATCATGACATCATTACAGCAGCTTCTGAAATTTTAAAAGGTGAGGAAGGAAATTCCAAATCAAAAAACGAAAATCCCGTCCCACAGGATGGTGAGAGGTGATTAAAAGCAAGACAGTTACAGATTAACATTGACTGGAACTGAAGGTGAAAAGCAGCAGCTTCTGCATATGAAGTGACAAGGGGCTCTCTGTCATATATATGTAGAAATATGTATGTACACGCTATACCTTGTTCATGACGTGCAGGGCTGGCCATGGTCCAACTACCTTCACACTCTCCGTTTCTATTTTCTTCAGATGAGAGGTTTCATCATAAAGAAGGGGAAGTCCTGAGCTCAATTCTAAAGAGATGCCCAAGAGAGAGAAAGAAAGAAAACACAGTCTGAAGGAAGGCTACAGAAGAACAGCAGAGCAAGTCACTGAACTTTGTTTGAAGAGATGGAGGTCTTCCCTGTAAGACCACCTAAAACCTTTAATAAAAATCATAGAATCACAAAATTATAGGGGTTGGAAGGGACCTCTGGAGATCACCTTGTCCAATCCCCTAGTAAAGCAGTTTACCTACAGCAGGTTGCAGAGGAAAGTGACCGGGTGGGTCTTGAATATCTCCAGAGAAGAAGACTCTACAACATCTCTGGTGGCTTCCTTCAGTGCCTGTTGAGCCATTACACCTGTTGGGTCAATTTTCCTTTTTCTCTTTAACAAACAATCCCTCCCCCCCACCTCCCCAGCTCCTTCTCTCCCACTCCTACGCTTTGGCAGGGCTTTTGCCAGCTTAAGGGCTTGGTTCTTCTTCCAGCCATCCCTCTATATTCAACAGTTGATACTGATGTCAACCCCATTGACACCAGAGAACTTATTTATGCGGCCAAGGAGCCTCTCTCAGAACATGTGATGTATACAGAGATCAGAGTATAGCTTTTGGCTCCTCTCAGATATCTTTATTTATATGTCAGTCTCTTTAAGACTGCTGTCAGGAATTTGCTGTGCTTTGTCAACAGAGATTTAGAGGAAAGACAAAAGACAAGATTTTGAGCACTGACAAAGAAAGACGAGGTAAAATACTTTTGTGACACTCCTGAAAGGACTCCACCAACATCCTCGGGATGGTGTGGCATACATGTGTTTGCAAGTATTCTGAGAAAAATGAGAGCTTCATTACACAATGATTTAATGAATCCTCACCTCTTCCTGTATTTCTTTTTGCTACAGATTCTAGGCAATAATAGTTGGGAACAATTCAGTAGTCTCTGGAGTCTGATTCAAAGCCCAGTGAAATAAATAAAAACTTTGCACTGCCTGCAGTTCCGTTTGGATCACTTTCTTAAGCTGTCCTAAGAATATTAAATATTGCTCACTCAAGATCTAATTCTACAGCTGTTTAAATATACATTAAGGACTTTGCTGACTAGAGACAAACTGCTAATGCCAGTTTAGAGGAATATAAGCAAAAAGTTGTCTTGGTACTGGTGAAACATAGTCAGTGGTAACAGTGGCTTAGAAGGGGTTATGACATCAGCATTGACCTTCTATTGGTGGTCTCTCATCAAAAGCTGATGAAAGCAGAGTTCAGCATTTCTGATATTACGGTTGCTTCCACAGATATGAAACTGTAATCTGCCTGATCATACCACTGAAAGAGTTACCCCAGCCATCAGATAAGACTACATGATGATTCTTTTTTAAAGAAACATGGACATTTTATTGCGTGTCAAGAAGGAACATAGAGGGGAAAAGTGCATTACTTAAAGTATTCACTTTTGCTGTGACTTTTTAGATTTTTTTTTTTTGCTTTTTATTTTTTTAAACAGGGATAGCTTCAGAAGCCAAGCAAGCTATTTTAGCCTTTTGACTCAACCTTGCAAACAGATAAAAGACATATATATCAATAAAAGGCAAAAAAAATTGGCATACACTTACTGAGTCAGCATTAAGTCTTGGCAAACCAGGCTTTCCTTTCAAGCAATGATCTGGCAGGACTGTATTTTTTACAAAGCAACATTCTAGCCTGAAATTCAGTTTGTATTACACCCTCCTTTTGTCATGGTTACACAAGGACTTTTTCATCAAGCAGGTCAGGAATAAAGGATGTCTTTTTTTTTTTTTTTTTTTTTTTAAGGTGATAACCTGCAAGCTCAGCCTAGAGCCTGAGAGGCAAGCTGAGCCCCTTCTTCCAATTTGTCATTTTCTGCCATAAAAATTGCGTGGGCTAACATGATGAGCTTGTTGGCAGCTGTTTTCTGTGACAGCCCCAGCTGCTGCCATTGGGTTTGCTCACGTGCACATGATAATCCATGTACAATGTTGCCATCCCAGATAGGCTCAGTGAGCAGTGCTGGCATTGCAAGGCTGGCTGCTGCTGAGCACAGTGGTCTCTGGTACAGTGACTGAGAGAATAGCTGGGGCAAGATCTGCTGCATGAGAAGATAGAATCTGTGTATTCAAGCTTTAAGGTGAAGGGCAGCACTGCAAATACCATTATTAGGCAGAATGCAGGAAAACATCTTCTGCTGAATTGCCTTTGCAAACACACGCCAGATTTATTTCACCGAATTTCACTTCTCCCAGTAATCAAAGTAGACAAACGACTTGGAATGTAAAAAATCAGGCAGATCTACTCTGTGTTTGTTTCCTGTAACAAAGTCCCAGGATGTGTACTTGCTGTGAAATATGCAGCAGCATTTTAAAGGGAACCTTGTCTGGGCACACCAGCATTTGCACCTCTCCTTCCTGTGCCCTGTGGGTTGGCACTGAAATTTTGTAATTTATCACATCATATCTATGAAGAGAAAATCCAGGCATCTTTTCCCCTCTCTCTATCACATGCTATCACATGCTAAGTGACGGGTGGGTCACTTCAAGTTCTACTTCGCATATGATTAAAATCACCTCTAAGCTCAGAGATGGGTCTGTCCTGTAGGATCTGGAACAACTAACAAAATGCTCAAGGTCCCCTGGAAAACCATCAGGTAGTCAAGCTGACACGCACAGCCTCACCACTGTCAGCCTCAAAGGGAGGTTTTCATTTGGCTAGCATATTCTTCACGTGGATCTTCTGGCCCTCCAAGCATGTCCACTTGAGGTATTTTGGTCACAAGCACCCTCTTCCCAAGAGTGTTCTCAGGCTAGTGACCACATACTTCCTAGAAACACTTTCCCAGTCGGGAATCTTTCATACAGCCTTCAACCAGACACAAGCTTCCATGTCCCCACAGTCCTTATCCAGACCTCTGAAAGCATCTCGTCTCTCAGCTTGGGTGTTTCTGGTCCCACAGAGCCGTATGTGCAGTCCCAGAGAGGTGGCTGACAGCCAAGGTGATGGAGGTTCACCTCCAAATGGAGCTGCCACCCCAATGCACATAGGAATAGCTTTGATCCAGGGTTTTTAGGGTGGTGGTCCTATCTACACCATCATCACTCCAAAAGCAAAAGCAGCAGCCTGAGCATGCCTGTTCTCATGGAGGGCACCCTTTTGGGGGAAAGTAGCTGTGTGACAGGCAGAGTGCATGGGTACAGGGCTGTGGGGAACCGTGATGTGGTCCGCTTTGAGGTGGCTGGCTGGCAGTCAGGACAGCCAGCTTACAAACTGGCACCACAGTCCCTCTGCAGGAGGCACTCATGTTCCTTTGTGTTTCCTCAGGGAGATCGAAATTCGGGCTGCTCTGGGAGTACAGCAGCTGCTGGGCAGAGCATGCAGAGCCTGGCCTCTGTGCCAGAGTAGCATCCTGGGTGCAGGAAGCATTAGTAAAATTATTACCTTTCCAGTAAAGCAGGGCTGTAGGAATTGGGGCGTGGTGCTGCTGCAGCACTGCTGGGGTGGAGGGTGATGGCCTTTGAGAAGTGTAGGGGCCTGAGCTGTGGGTGAGCCCTGTGGATGGGACATTCAGGATTACAGTGTCCTCAGGGCCCAGGCCCTCAGCAGCACTGCTGCTGGCACTGGCTACATTTCCACTGGCATGGTTCACCTCTAATTTGGGAAATAAAAAACAGAGGCTGGCACAGAGCCATGGGAAGGCTTCTGGCTCTTGCAGCACCAAGCTGACATGCTGCATGCAGTCTTTGGCCCCACTTCATAAAGCTGGCAGCACCCCTTTCCCATTGGCAGCCCCACCGCAGCAGTGCCACAGCAGCATTTCCCCTTCTGCAAATCCTCTAATGTAGAGCATTCAATGCATAAACACAGAGGAGTATAACAGAGCTTCTGCAGATTGCTGCTAAGGGAGTAGATTCTTTTAAAGTTCCAGCATGCAATTCATATTGCTGCTTGGAACTCGTTCTTCAAACACTTGCAATGCCTTGCTTTTGTTTCTCATGCTTAAAATTTTCATCTCCCTCTCTTTGGGAAAGAAAACTAAAGAAAAGGTTTCCAGGTTTCTGACACAACGTTTGAATAAAACTTCTGCACTGACAGGTGCCTATGCATATCTGCCGAGAGAGGAAAGCCAGGAGCCAAGAGCACCCAGCACTGTCCACGGTGAGATCTTGGCTACAGGCTGAAAGATTCCCTAAGAGATGCCTCTCAGAGTGATGCACAAAGCCAAAATATGGACAAAGGAAAAACTTAGCATGCTCCTGAAGTAAGGAAAATAGTAGGTCACACCTTGTTTTGTCCATCTTCTGAAATTCTTATACAGTTCCAGCATCTCACGCATTGCAGAGTGCCAAGACTATAAATTTGGAGTGCAAGAAACAGGATTGCTCAATGGCAGGGATGTTTTTCTTCAAGTTTTTGTGTAAACCTACAGACACCTGGCCAAGCTATGCACCTTTTACAAGCCTGTACATGTACAGCAGCCGAGACGTATGTCTGAACTCCCCAAGGCTATATCAGAAACAAGTGAGTTTCTCTCCTCTTTGCTTTCTACATGCCCAGAATTTCTCCACAGAGCAAGTGAGCGTACTCCAGGTGGCAGCTGGGGCCAAGTGGGAATCATCCACACTACTGCCAGCCAAGGTGATGCCAACCACTGGGACGAAAGCCAGTACAGCAAAGCGAGCCCTTCCTACACACCACAGAGAAAGGCATCACTTGTCTCAAGAAGGAAGAGCACCAGTGCTGCAGAAGACGGTAAACCCCTAGGCATGAAAAGAGTGCTTCTGATAGTCATCTCTCAATGTCCTTTTTCCAATGTGGAACAGTTCTTTTTTACATTGCTTCTCAGGTATTTCTGAGCTTTTGTTTTTTCTCCCTGGAATTTGGGAAGCCTGTGAATGGGAATGCATCTTTGCCGCTCTTACTAAAAACTATGGCATTTGTAGAAATTTTCTTAAAGAGCCAAGAGAGCCTGTTGCACTGGACTGGACACAACCTCAGTGCAATATTTTTTCAGCTACTCCTCCTTCACAGCTGTGGACCCCAGTACAAAAACAGCACAATGGTGTTTGCCCAGTGCTCCAACATTTCTGCAGCTTGTGCCCAGATATGAAAGCAAGAGCCAGATCCAAACAATGAGGGCTGAAGGCCAGCTGGGCATATCAGCAAACGAAAGGCAGATGAGGATAGGTTTGTCATATTATAGAAATAAATAGTAACAATGAAAAAATAGCCTGTGCCAAGTAGCTAGAGATTCAGTATCTCTGACTAATTGGATATTTGTTCAGCTGCAGAACACCAATCTAGCACCAAATCCCACAGTCTCATAGCAAAGCCAAGAAACTGTACATCTTGTCTCATTTGCACATAGTACTGAGCTAGAAAATAATAACAGGAAATATATTCTTCACAGAGGAAAAATGAAACGTGTGATGTTCTCCTTTCCTTTGCCTCCTTGCCAGAGACAAAGTTGAAACCAGCAGAGCTACTGACACAACACTGTAGACTTACTATTTGGGTTTGGAACTCCAGAAACAATGTCTTTGCTGTCGGGAGCAAGGGCGCCGTAGCTGGCGTGGTGGTGGTGATGGCGGTGGTGGTGGTGGTGCCTCGCAGGCATTTTTGCAGCATATGGTGCTCCGCCATTCTCCTCAATGTTGAACTGGTGCAGATCACTGTTGTTCAAGGGATAGCTACAAAATAAATTCGGTTCTAGTTAGAGTGGGAAATAGAAGGATCAACGGTACTTTTGGAGAGAAGAGAGTGCAAATTTCCTCGAGGAAAAAATACGTTGTTTTTATTTGCAAATAAAATTTTTAATGACTTTTACACTTTTCTGTTAACAGAAGTGTCACAGGGTGAGGAAAAAGGACTCCTCTGCTTATTTGACATGACTTTAATGTCAGAATTCTTTTTGATTTTGCACGCTGCACAAGCTCTGCTAGAGTCTTACATCGAGTCAAATTCTAACCGAACTATGGAGTACGACTCTCAAAAACATCAAAATTTGTTCTGCAGGAATTTGTAGTTTCACCTCCAATAGGAAAAAAGTCAGGTAACAAACAATAATTCTTTTAATGTGAAACTGTCAGAAGAGAAAAGCAAAGAACAGTCCTCAAATGACTTTATAAAGTCTGTGACTGTTTAGGGCTACAGAATAATGGTGAAAAGGCTCCATGAAAAATACAGGACTTGGGAAAAAATGGAGAAAGATCCCATTGGAAAGAAAAGGTTTCACAGGTAACAGCACACAGGATAGCGCTTGGTCCAAAAGGGATTGCATCTCTGGTAAATACCTTTTGTTGTTGTTGTTGTGAAAGTTTACTCAGGAGACTAAGTTGTCAACCTGCAATGTATGGAGAAATGGAGGCACTGACATTTTAACTGATCATCTCTACCTCAGATGTGTCACGTGACACAACTACTTTTCTGCAGTAGTTTCAATGGATGCTGTTTCAGTTTATTGTCTGAAATGATGAGGAATGCCTAGAAATATGCCAGCAATCAAAAAAAAAAAAAAAAAAAAAAAAGTTGACATAATTTTACACAGACACTGCAAATGACTTGGAAATAGTCCCCACATAAAGTGTTTAAAACATTTATAATGTTTTAACTAATTCTGCATTAGGCAACAGTTGCAGTAAATCAATTCATTCCCCCCGCCCCCCTCCACCTCCCCTAAAAAAGCCCAGAAGCCCCTGTCCATTTGAAAAATGCTAACAAAATTATCTCTCAACCCACATAAGCATTCAGTTTGCTTCTGTTGCCAACAGTAGCTAAAAACCTGACACCATGGAATAAAGACAAACAGAATAATTAAAGGAGCAAAGAATGAATTACACCTAGCTACTCGCTACATATGTTTTCTGCAGACTACTTACTGATTCAAAGCAAAATTAACAAGTCATCTGGACACACACACATCTGCATCATTTCCAAGGCTATGCCGAAGCTTGCAACTCAGTGCATCATTAGTAATGACTGCCTTCTTAGCAACAACTGACAGCATGAGGTTTCTGACTGGGTAGCAATTGAATAACGCTTTCATGCGGGTTACTTTTTTGAAAGCAGGAGTCAGGAGGGGAAGGCTTTGTGTATTCACCTTGGCAAGTTCCCAGCATGTTGCAAGGACTGCCAATAAAGGCACTTCTGATGCTCTATTTGCCTTAAGGAAACAACACAAATAGAGGTCACATACGCAGGCAAGAGCTTTGGTGAGCTCAGATAATCCAGGAAGGTCTTTTGAAACTGTACTGTATCTTCACTCTTATAATCAAATTAAGTAAGTGCCTACTGGGGAAAAATGGTACAGGCTAATGAGATTGCATACTAATTGCAGCAGCTCGCCTGCACTCTCCCCTTCAAGCTCTTTGGATCAAAGTGACATTTTTGGACAGAAAAGAGCTGGTTTTGTTCACAGAATGAAAATACTAACAGTCTGGGGCTGGAGTCTCAGCGCATCTCTTGCTTTTTCTGGTCTATGATTCAACATTTTTCAGTACACAAAGCCCCATGCATTTGGGAATTGCTTTCATTTCACTGGCTGACAGGTTTGTTTAGCAGGTTATTCACCAGTCTTTTAAAAACAAATAAGATCACACTGAATCTTTACACTGACTCCTCGTATTGCTATGGGCACAAGGTAGCTCCCATGCTGAAATGGGAAATGATCTGGGCAACTGAGTGAACCAAACAGCTCTGGCATGATTATGAATTTGCACCAAGGTCTCTAGATGTATCTTTTGACTGTCCAGACAGGAGAGCTCTCACCACGTAAAACGCAGGGTGACTTTTATTTCAAAGAAGCAAAGAACCCAACAAAGCTGATGTTCAGGTGTGCACTGAAATCCAAGCCCACACAGTGCACTCTGATGGGCAAATCGCTATTGAAAATGCTGGCCCAGCTAAGAGGATGCAGTCATCTACTCTTTTCTGGGGCTAGCAGCATCTGGCAGATATGGGCACAGGTTCATCTTGGCACTCAGTTACCTCTTGCACTTCAGATGGATGTGGGGTTGGGCGAGGAAAACTTCACATCCATGCCCTCCTTGCCACCTAACAGTTCTGCACAAACACACTATAGGTTGGTGAGCCATCCACAACAGTGCTCTGAGGCAGCAGCCTCAGATCCAGTCTGCTAGAGAACCTTGGCAGTACCCCAAAAAAGACTAGTCCTAATCCCTATCCTGTTTACTCTATCCTGTTTAATTTAGAAGCACATTAGGCATTATAGCGTAGTTGCTAAGAGATGTTATCTAGCTGGTATCATCGTGGCATCATTTAGCAGAGATGTCACATCTATTTTCACTAATTTTAGTGTTCTCCCACTATCTTATATCTAAAGTCTTGACACTTTCCCCCAGTGCATCTTTCTGCCATTAACATTCCTTTTTATTGCTTGTTTCTATCTGACTTACCTGAATATGTGATGTGCTCACAGATCTTTCTCCATCCAATGATACAAGAAAATTAGTATTTTCTCTGAGTCAGCTTTCAGACTATATCCTGCTCTCTCCAGGTTTTCATTCTTGCTCCCCAGACTTCAAGTAACACTCTCAAACTAAGTGCAAACGTGGGCAGATACAGGTTTTCACCTTTTCTCCTGTAATTGTCTTTTGGTCCTCCTGGTACATACCAATGTTTCACATCTGCTTTGCCTTTTGTTAGGCAATAGGCTGTTGTGCAGCTTTCCTGCTTTATTTACCTGTTGAGTTTTCTGATCAAGCACCAGCCGCTCCCTACATAACCAACTCTTGCCCTTCAAGGAAAAAGGCAGTGCTCTGCAGACAGTTCTCTAAAGAAATTGAACATTTCTTCCCTCTCCATCCTGCATGCAGGCAAAGCACTTCTAACAGTCCCAGGCTAAACCTTTAAAAAGAATCAAAATTCACAGACACTTGGTAATGCTGTTAGCCTCAAACTTCCACACTTACTTTCCTCTGATCAAAAAGACAGCCTATAGAGAAACAGAGCAATTGGTATATATCTTCTCATTAGTTTCTCCATTGTTTGAATTTTGTTTTCATTACTAGCCCCCTATCCCAATTTTATAGTCCTCACTCTTTGCTTTAGAAGATAGTTTCAGATGGCATTTTTAAATTTCATGTGCTCCAGCTATCTGCTGCATTACTGAACCATGCTTCTATTGTATGACTCACACAGACATGTTAGGGGATCAGGAAAAAAATGGGGAATAGAAAGGTATTGAAAAGAATTCAAAAGACTGAATTTCTTCACCTCTCCCTTCACAAAAGGACCCTGCAGGCCTACATTACCCCAGCTGACTGCCTGAGCTGAACCTTAAAAAATTCTCCCTAGCAGACTTCATGACCTGCCTGTACAATCTATTTCAGTGTCAAGCCATGTCAACAATTTTCACATCTTCCTCCAGATTTTGAAGCACTCTGAACTTTCAGTGGCCCCTCACTCATCACGTTTTCTACTGCTCTGATCGTTCTTGCACCCCATTCTGCACACCCACCCCCTGCTCTGCCTCTGAGATGTCGTGCATTCCTGCTGAGGCCTTAAAAAGGCATTATATGCTTCCCATATCCTATGGGACCAGTTTCTGTGTATATACTAGAACACGACATTTGCTTTCTCCTAAATAGCATACAGCTCTTGACTCACATTCAAATTCTTATCCTCACGAACACCACCCTTTCCTAAAGCAGCCAGGCATCCCTCCCTCCTGATATGTGAAGCAGGTTACTTGGAACTAAGAGCATTCTTTCCTCCTGAGCTGCATCTTAAACTTTTACATGTGCTAACGTCACACCCAACCCATGCTGGACCCACGTGTGAAGCAGAGACTTTCAGAAGTCTAGCAAAAGTATTGATTGCACATTAAGCTTCAGCATGGCAGCTCGGAAATGAGATTTCACAGCTGTGTCAAGCCAAGCACTCATGTTTAAGGTTAGTCTCTGCATTTGGAGGGAAAAAAAGGAAGAAACTTTGGGTTTATTCCCTGCCCATGCTTCAAAAAAAGTTCAAAACAAAACAAGTTACTTTTTAGTAAACCTTGCCTTCAACTTATTCAGAATCTCATACACCCTTTGTGTCACTGTAGCCATGTAAAGTGCCACAGACAGTATAGAAAGAACATAGCACACTAGAAATTTCTTTGTGGGCAGAAATGAAATGTGGGAAACAGAATGTAGTGCCCTGGGCAAGTATCATTTAACGGCCAGAACCAGTGTGCTGAAGCAAAAGGCTTAGAGAGGACTCAGTATTACACATGAAAGGAAGCCAGACCATGGAGGGAGGACTGCTTATAAAAGAAAAAGGGTGCAGTTTCATTTTTGCAGCCGAAGACTGAGACATATAACAGCAACAGGTGTTCCCAAGTAAAGAAGGAAGGCCAGGTTGAATGGGAACCTGGGCAGCCTGGTCTAGTAGGTGGCAGCCCTGTTCATGGCAGGGGCTTGGAAATGGATGGTCTTTAAGATCCTTCCAGCCCAAGCCACACCATGGTTCTATAATCTCTACAAGCACATCTATATGATTTTTTCCCCTGCACCACGTAACCACGGCCTCTTGGTTTCCAAAAATGCAGAATGCATACTTTAAGCTGACAGCACTGTTGTACTTCTATGCTGTGCCCTGACACCAGCAGAGGATGGGAGGACTGGAGAGATGCATTGCAGCAGTCCTCATCCACTTGTAGGGACACCTCAGGAAGCCTTATATTTCT